CGTGAAAATAGGTGTTGTTTCCGATGCCTGCGCATTGGTCATTGGGCCCCGGAGTGTAAGTCATCTGTGCAATGTACTAAATGCCCCCGTAGACATCATCCAATGTTACATAGTACGCTGACTACRGTCATCAGTGATAGGGACAGTAACCCAACATGTAATAGTCAGTTGAACCGTGAAGAATCCACGGCACAGTCGTCTCTTTTCGGTAGTAATGCGCAAAATTCATCGTCTGTCGTTCTTGGAACCGCGCTAATTCACATCCGTGACTGTGGTGGTATGTTGCATACCAAACGCGCTTTGATTGATTCTGCGTCCCAGATAAGCGCGATCACCGTGGATTGCGCTGCCCAATTGGGCTTAAGGGTGTCTCGTTGGACCGCCCCTATTTCAGGTTTGTCCGGTACCTCAGTACAGAACGTAAAGGGGCAGGTAAACTGTCACATACAACCCAGATTCGCGACCGACCCGATTTTAAAATTCACAGCGTGGGTATTCCCTACTATTACAGCTCAGATGCCCAGCCTGCCGATATCCGATCAAGTAGCCGATAAGTACAAAAATCTCGCGCTCGCTGATCCTTCTTTTGCAGTGCCTGATAAGGTTGATTTACTGCTCGGTGCTGATCTTTTTGCGCGCATCTTGGATGGCAAACGTGTGTCGGTAGGCGACGAGTACCCAGTGGCATTCGGGTCCGTTTTCGGGTGGATCATAATCGGTCCAGTTCCACAGTCGAGTAATCCTGTGTCCAGTTCACATCTTGTTTCGTTGGTCTCTTCAATTGAATGTCTTATGGACAATTTCTGGCGCGTTGAGGAACCAGAAGCAGCCCCTAATGACTTCACGTGTGACGGGCAGTGTGAAGTTATGTTCCGTAAAAGGTGTTTCCGGGATAGTACCGGACGCTATGTAGTTCCTTTGTTATTTCGCCAACCGGTGACAGACTCCACCTTTGCGGGTTCGCGTGCGGTAGCGCTCAAGCGCTTTGAGTCACTTGAACGSAAGCTCGCTTCTGATAGCCGTCTTCGGGAGGCATATTGTAATTTCATGGCAGAGTACGTGTCATTAGGTCACATGTCCTTAGCAAAAACCGTGGGGTCATACTTCATCCCCCACCACGCGGTGTTCAAGTCTTCCGACGTCGAAGCGAAAATTCGTGTTGTATTTGATGCATCCGCGCAGCCAAGTTCGAGCGCTTCGCTCAATCAGTGTTTATTCTCGGGTMCCAAACTGCAACAGGACGTGATAGATGTGCTCGTGCTATTTCGCCTTTCGCGTTACGCATTTACCGCAGATATAAACAAAATGTATCGACAAATTTTGGTAGACCCTGAACACAGGCGTTATCAGCATATTTTATGGCGCGCTTCCCCGCAGGACGCACTTCAAGCATTCGAGTTAAATACCGTTACGTACGGGGTGAACTGTGCTCCTTTTCTTGCCATTCGAGTTCTTCACCATATCGCCGAACATGATTGTGGTGATGCCCCCGCCGTACGTGACGCATTATTGTTCAGTACGTACGTAGACGACATTTGTGTTGGAGGAGATACCATAGACGAGGCGATCTCACTTCAGTGTGATTTAATAAACGTATTAAAACGGTCCGGTATGAGTTTGAAAAAATGGTCGAGCAACACCATAGAGGTGTTAAATCAGGTGCCCCCTGAGGACCGGGCATGTGGGTTATTATCATTTGAYGATGAAAGTGGTGGAGGTACTAAARTTCTGGGACTCCAATGGTCGCAACGGGATGACACTTTTAGGTACGCCGTTCAGCCCGAAAACTTAATCACAACTAAGCGAGGCATGTTATCATTAATTGCGCGCATATTTGACCCGCTTGGCTTATTAGCGCCAGTAATATTTTTAGCGAAACATTTAATGCAACGCGTGTGGCAACTCGGGATTTCCTGGGATGAACAGTTGCCCCCTGAAATCGTTGTCGTATGGAACAGATTCGTTGCGGATCTCCCGATTTTACAAACAGTAAATATTCCGCNAATAATAATTAACAATAAGTATATAAATTGAAATATTTTAGATGATTAAATTTTGTTCTGGACACTATCTTTATCACATAAAATAATACAGACACTGTGGCATAAAGCAATAACGTGGATATATATATATATCCACCTTGACATAAAGATTACCTATCACACAGCAAAATTTTATGTCATAATAATAAATAATAATATTTTACAATTGAAGTTGTGTAAAAAATTTTTTAAATAGAATATTTAAAAAATATTCAAAATCATAATAATTCAACAAGAATAATAACACTTTGATTTGAGTGTTGGTAAGAGCAGAATTTCGATAATAACTTATTTATATAMTTAATATATTTAAAAGTTGTTTTGCTTTAATAAGGACGTCTCACCTATCCAAGTATTCAGTTATTTTTACAAGTGCAAAGCATAATAAATGTATGTTTAACAGTTAACAATAGAATCATCAGTTTTCAATAATTATAATTATTACTTATACAATTTACTTCCGAGTTTAGATCACATTTACTGTTTAGAGCTAGATAGTTAGTACTATGGAATATGGATGTGCCTATATGCAGACAGTTCCTTTTTTCACATATGCACTCATCTCGATTCATGGTTAGACACTCGTTCGCTTAAATATGTGTGACTCTATCCATATTATATTATATCAGAGGCGGTCGAACCGAAGTCCCAAAAATCTAGTAGAGTGAAAAATATTTCAAGAGGCCCGATATCTTAGAGATATCCCTATGATAAAGAGGTATTCCTAAKAGGTCAACAATCTAGAGAACARCTTGATAAGCAAAAAGCAAACAATTTAATCACTAACCAACAAAGGATCATTGTATTCAAAGTGTCCTAGTTAACCATCCGTTTGTTACGTGTTACCAAAACATAATTTATTTTTCTACGACCATTTAGATTGATACTTTTTACACCCAGTGTCATAGTCAGCTTTCCAGGAAGGAATATTGAGTGTATAGTACTGTATACACTTTTTCCCTCCCCAAACCCTAACCCTGGCTACGACACTGCCTTCCCCGCGTGACAAACAGCTGGTTAAGTAAGTAATAAGAAGGTTAGGTTAGGTACCTATACAGGGTGTCCCACAGAGATCTGATAAATTAAATAACTTTTGTTCTAATCAATATTTTTTTAAAAATTTCTTTTAAATATAATTCATAGACACTTGCGCTACATTTTTTATTTTTTATTACTGAAAATAAAAAACTTAAAAATTGATAAAAATTTTTTTTGAAATATTCAATATAGCCAATTTGTAAATCTGATT